ACTTACTTGTTATTGTATATAATTGTTTTTTTTTTGTTTTGTTTTTTAAGAGGAGGAAGCATCGAAAGCCTGGGACCCCATGTCAGGGTGGAACTTTAATTCAGTTAGAAGTTGCATATACTTGGCCCCACCTCTGTTGGTCTGATAACCCCCCTCGTACATTGTTCGTCGCCAACCCTTCCCGTCCCGTCAATGTTTGTGTGTTTGAGTCGTGGTTGTTAGTTACATTTATCGGCTCTCTTATCCGCCGCTGTTCACTGGCACGTTGAGATTTTATAACCCTGGCTGCAACTCCGCAAGCAGCTTTCCACTTCTCCACCGATTCGACGATTTGGCTTATCAAGTTATTGGGAGTTGGGTCTACACCGAACGCATTTTTTGGGTGTTGCCTCTCATGATAATATTTTGGGCAATAAAAGAATATGTGTTCCACATATTCGACAGTATCACCTCCGCAATAATCATATCTGTCTGCAATAACTAGAGCAGCATCTTCCGATACTGTGCGGAAAGCAGAACATACTCTTAGCGCGCAAGTGGCATATATCGAAAAAAGGCCACGGCGATATGATTTTACTTCTAGGGCTTTTCCCCATATCTGGACACCGAACAGCGCGACTGACTTTAGCACACCAGCTCTTCTGCTATTTTGCTTTGGCCCGCGGGTATTGAGCATTAACCGGGTCAAGGCTCTGCACACTTTTGTAGCTTTTTCGCCTGTGTATGCTAAGTGTTCCTTAAAGGACGTCCTTGCATCAAGTATGATTCGCAAGTAATTAATTGCCGGTTGTGTCGTGATGCTTACACCCTTTGTACTGAACGTGGCAACTTCACGGACTTTTCTGCCAGTGATGAGTAACGAGCTTTTTAGTGCACTCAATATACTGCTCCAGGACGCCGAGTTAAAGGCATTCTTTACATCCAGGGTTACAACCATACAGTACTGTATTTTGCCTGCTTTCCACCTTTTCCCGCTTATAGCCCTTTCAGCCAGGGTCTTTATTAAGTTTACAGCTGCTGTTGTGGATCTTGGCTTTCGGAATCCGAATTGGTTGGGTGATAACCCACCGGCATCGTCGATTGCCTTACTTAGTTCGCTTTCCAGCGGAGTCTAACATGCAAAGGGGCCGGAAGTGGGAGGTTCGGTCATTGGTTTGTTGGGTTTTGGCAAGAGTGTCAGGATTTGCCTTTTCCATATGGTGGGAAAGCGGCCTTCGTGGATGCATGTATTATACATAGTTCGGAAGGGGTCTATGTTTCTATCAATCGCTGTTTTTAGCACTATGTTCGGAATTCCATCTGCTCCCGGGGCTTTAGATGGGTTTAACCGTTTGCATACTTCTCGCACTTCTTCATTCGAAACAGTTGGGATAGCCTGTGCTTGTGGCACTCTCACGATCTCCTGATGGATTGGGGGTTCGATAGGGGAAAAGACCGAAACAATTCCCTCAATTGTTAAGGGGGAGGTTGGCATTTGCCCGCCAGTGCGGAGTTTTCCCATTACCGTTTTGTAAGCGAGTTCCCAAGCGTTGTTTTCGACATCGTCGCACAGTTTAAGAAAGCATTCCTTTATTATTTTCTTAATTCATTGTTTYAATAACTTTCTTTTCTCCTTAAAATGTTTTTGGAGAGTGGTGTGTTCAGGTGTACCCCGTGGTCTTTGGTATAACCGCCTTGCTTGCTGGCATTCTTTACATAGCCTTGCGATCGKCTCATTCCACCAATACACTGGGGAATGGTGTTTCCTTCGAGATAACTTAGACATTGAAGTGTCGCATGCCCTTTTAATAATAATCGAGTAAGCAGCTTTGTTAGCCATCAACAAATCATCGGGAAGAGTAAATGGCCTGAAGACTTCTTCAAAAAGGTCTGTGTCGAACGTTGTGGGTCGCCAGTTACATCTTTTTAGGGTCGGTAAACGCTGTCGTTCGTGTGTGGTAGTTATTTCGAATATATTTGCATAGTGATCGCTAAAAGTGTAATGATCACTAATTTCCCAGTGAGATTTGCGGACTAAGCTCGAGTGTACGAACGTTAGGTCTATCACCGATTGTCGGCCACCTTTATTAAATGTGCATTGGTTGCCAGCATTTAGAAGCTTCAGATCAAGAGAAGCGAAAGCTTCCAGTAAGGTTTTTACTCTGGTGTTGGTTCTTTTGCAACCCCATTCGATGGCGATTAAAGTCGCCAGCTATTATAATTTTCGTTTTGCATCTCGCATCGGCCACAAGATTGTCGATAATACGGCGATACTCTTCGTCGTTGAGGCTAGGGGGTAAGTAGCAGCTATATACATTAATATCATTAGTTGTTGATCGAACGAAACCATCAGAAGAGAAGGGTGCTTCCAGTTGCGCAGCGTTAGGGTTACATTTCCATATAACCGCTTTATTTCGGGTGCCACTTATCCAGGTTACGCCTTGTCCGATTTTATAAGGTTCACTTAGTAGAACCACATCAATTTGCTTTTCGGCACCTGACTGTTTTAATAAGTTATTAGCCGCTTGACAATGGTTTGCGTTCAGTTGTGGAAACCTCATATTACATGCTGAGCTGCCTTCTTGTATACTGGGCACCTAACGCTTCCAGTAAAGTGATCGATTTCCTTTGTACCGGCTTTCAAGCAGAGCAAATATCTTGGCTTGTCGTTGCAATCCTTTGCCTGGTGCTCTCCTTCGCCACATCTTCTACAGAGTCTGGACCTGTCCTCATTTCTGCAGGCTTTTGCAGTGTGTCCATAGTCGCGACATTTAAAGCACCGCTGTGGTTGTCTGTATTCTCGTATGCGGCAATTTACCCATCCAACTTTTAGTTTTCTAGTCAGTAGAAGCTGTCAAGCTGCCTCAACCGGAAGTTTAATGAGAGCTGTTTGGGTGTCTCCATAGGACTTTCGTAAGTTCTTAAGTGTGGAAATCGTCAGTTCAGTGTTACCTAATTCTCTCTGTAGGGCGTAAAGGACTTCTTCCTTGCTTGTAACTTCATCAAGGTCTTTTCACTCCAGTAGGGTCTCCTGGGTCAGAAGTTTAACGTGGGCTTGATTCCCTAGACACTTCTTCATGTTCTCCTGGGAGTCGGTTGGGATCGCAGTCCCACTGAGTTGTAGCAACATTTCACCATTTTGCGTTTTACGTATCTTGGTGACATTATTTCCGAATCCGCTTAGAGTTGAGTCGGACTTGATTTTCCTTAGAATCTCCGCATAGGAAAGGTCTCCATTTTTTGAAATTAATATCGTTTGTGGTTTTGTTTTTGGTAATTTTGCTGTCTTCTAGTTCCCTTTCTTAGCTACTACATTCCACTGTTCCTCCATAGGATTATTTGTTGTTGCTTTATTATCAGGCCATTTTGCTAGCTGCGTGCTTAATATTTTTGTTGTTGGCGACTTTGTCGTGACTTCTAATATTTGAGAACCTATCATTGATCGTTTGAACTGACCAGTTAAGCTTGTTCTTGCTCGTGTATTTGGCGAATTGATGTATGATCGTTTGTTTTGTTGTAGGGTCTGCTCGTCAACCATTGGTTCTTCAGTGAGTGTACTGCGACCTCTTTTCGCCTGGGCGATTGGGTGGATAGCCGACTCTCTTATCTCTGCTACTGCTTGTTTTTGCAGTTGCGAGATCCTGTCGATTATGTTACGCATGTGTTGGTTAATATGCCTTTGTTTTTGGTCATGGGTGAGCAAGATTAGCTCTTCTATTAGTTTACCCAGATCATTAAGTGCGCTCTCTCCTACGCTCGCACTTATTACATTTTCGCTGCTAGTGGTGCCTTGTGTTGGCAGCTCGGCTGCGGTAGCTATTTATTTCAGTCACATCGTGTGAGGCCGTGTTTGTTGGAGTCACTTCTTGTGTCGTTGGTGTAGCGACTTTTAACGTCTGTGCGCATTGTCGATCAGGTGATCGGGGGTCTTACTGCCCCTTATGAAGGACTATGATCCGCATTGTTACCAGTAATGGTATGGGCTGTTTTAGGTTTAGTTGACATTTCCTCAGCTATTCCTATAGCAGTCCACTAATGCAGCTGTTGCTCGTAAATTCCTCAAGGTGTAATCCCCATTAATTCCTCTTTGTGTGGATTGTGGAATCCAAGTAGGTGTGTAAAGGGAGAGCTAAGAAAGTGCGCTCTTCGCGACTTCCCTTTGTGCGAACCTTCTCCCAAATAAATAGATATTTATAAAGTGTTTTAGCACTCACCGCTTTTATAGCTTTTTTATGCTCGAATTTCTGTTTTCGTTGAGTTGTTTTGGACACTGTGTGTATTTCCGCGCGTTTAGGAACTAATTTTGGATTATTTCCTA